CGGTTTCAATTTGGTTCGATTTAATACGGTTGGGAAGAAATACTAGCAAACTCAAATCAAATTACATATGTTCGATTTAGGTTCAATTTAATTCGATTTGGTACGATTTGATTCAGTTAAACCAAAGCAATATGTCCACCCCTTGTATGAGGTATTTCAGTCATACCTCATACATCATTTTTACAAATTAGCAAAATCTAATCTTATCGGTTCTAAAATTCTCAAATAGTTTCTCTTATATATGAGGATAGAGAAAACAAATACTACCTCATTTTTATTTAATCTTTTTTTTAGAGATTCTTATTTGCTCCGCTTGATTTGGTAAAATTTAACATATCAAAATACATAAATACACTTCTTCAGTCTCATAAAACTTGGCCAAAGTTGATTTGCATGTAGAATAATAAAGTAAAATTGTGTAATTGATATTTATGCAGAAGAGAGGGAAATAACTTTAGTCATATATTTCTTACTTTAAATGGAAATGACAAAGTTTTTTGGGATAATAAAAAAAAAGAAAAGTTGACTAAGTTTTATGGGACGGAGGTCGTAGTATTTAACTTTGTCTTCTCATTCTTATTATTTCTACATTTTATTTTACGAAATTGCATTTAATAGAAGTAATAATGTTTGTGACTTTTTAAATAGGACTACTGTATTTTTATTTTCTAAATAAAAACAATTACTGTTATGTTTTGACATTATCAAATAATATCTTTCAAGTTTGACGCAATTACTCCTATTTAGTGAATAAAAACATTGTACTCATATTTTGAAATTTTAAAACGTTTTTATGTGAGTTCATTTACTCACTTCAATGCGTTTGTTATATTAATATGAAATACCGGTAGGAGCAGACATAGAAAATCATAAATGAGGCTTTAATTGTAAATATAGAATGATATTTATTGTCACATAATTCAATGCAACACTATATTTGATAAGTTTATTATACACTATATTTGATAATATTCTCGTAATTTAAATCTTTTGTATATATATTAAATACCAAGCAATAATTTTTTTTAATATGTGTGACACTTTCTCATGTCTTATAGTCTAAGTAGTAACCCAATGTATTAATTTTTTTATTAGTTATCAAATACAAAAGGATCTTATACAATCCCCGCTTGTTCTTATTTAGTTGTAACAACTTGACTTTCACATTTATCAACATATAATTAATACATGTAATTTTTATTATTATAATCATTAGAAGGTTATATCTTGATATTTCACATTAGAACAGTAATGTGAATTTAATATTCCCTACGTTTTGATGTCTCAAATAGAAGTCCCCAATTTTATAAAAAGAACATTTTAAATAAAAATGTCATAACTAACTTTTGACTATTTTTTTGTTGAATTTAATACTCCATAAAGTTTTTTTGACTATTTTTTCTTGATTTAGCATATGATATATTTAGAAAGTCAAAATAATCTTATGTCACTAAATAAACACTCTCCCCCATATCATTTTAACTCATACTCCATATAATAGATTTTTTACGTATATTAAGATAATGTTGTACTATTTAAGTGTATTGAAAATACTTTTAATATTGATTCATTTCTCAAAAAAGCAAATATTATACTCTCTCCGTCCTAATTTGATTTTCAAAATTTCCTTTTTTGGTTGTCCCAAAAGGGTTTTCCACTTTCTATTTTAGGTATCTAAATAAGAATAAAGTGACAAATTTACCCTTACTTTTACTTTTTCCCCACTAACTTAAAGGCATCTACTTTTAGAAAGATGGGCACAAATGTAAAAGGCAAGCATCACGTATTGTCATTTCTTAATCTTTGTGACGATCAAAGTTTGCAATTCAATTCGGGACGGAGGGAGTACACAATATTTAGAGGTGTTTGAATTTGATTTTGTTTTCCCTTTTAAACTGATTTTGTGCTTTCATTTGGGGAGAACTATCAAATAAGCCCTCGAACTTTTATAAAAAGTGCAAATAAGCCCTTTTATAGGAGGCCTTGTCCAGCCATCACCATTTGGGGCGGTTTCCGGTGTAATATTTTGATGAAATTTTTTGAGCAGCTTGTTCATTAAGTCTAGTTTACTCATACCAAATTTCAGCTAAAAATTCAATCAGGAAGGCAGTCAAATGAATTTTTGAAGATAATTGCGTAGTTAGACAGCGCAGAATATTTCAGAAAATCATTTGACTTCCTTCTCGATTGAATTTTTAGCTGAAATTTGGTGTGGGTAAACTAGACTTAATGAAGAAGATGCTCAAAAAAATTCATCAAAAAATTCTACCTTAAACCGCCCCAAATGACGACATCCGGACAAAGCCTCCTGTAAAAGGGCTTATTTGCACTTTTTATGAAAGTTCGAGGGCTTATTTGTTCTCTCTAATAATAATAATAATAATAATAATAAATTACACTTTTACAAGTGTATTAGTTACACTTTTACAAGTGTACGATTTCTGGTTGCAAAGTTGGCCGACACCGAATTGGCTAAAAGTGTTCTTAATAACTTGGTTAAAAGATTCGTATGAGTTGTGTTAAATGATTGTCTACAAGATACAGTGAATAATATACATGAGGAAAATTATGGGACTCAAACATAATTAAAAGGAAAAATTGGAAATAGTAATCCCAACTATTAACGGTCCGCTATTAATAATCCTAATTATCGATTATTCCTGGATGGTCCCAACTATAGGGACCATTTTCCAAAAATAGTCCCTAACCTGCTACAACCTGGTATAGCAGGTCAAATTTAAATGCGAACTATGCATAAGCTCTAAATAATCCCAACTATAATTAATCTTCTTTTATTAATCCCAATTATCCACTCTCAATTTTAGAAAAATATGAAAATATTTTTATAAATTTTCAAATTAAATATTTGTAAACATGTAAAAATTATTATGAAAATTCTACAAATGTACCGAATTTAAATAAAATAGTTTTAGTCATTTTTTTATTTATTTTCACTAATTTTTTTTCTCTTTTCCAATTTATTGTTCCCAGTTGTGTTAAGAAGTTATGATTTTGTATTATTTTCCTTTATTCAATTTTACAATTTTTGTTTTCAAAAAGTAAGATGTGACTATATTTTTTATGATTGAAAGCTTTATTCTAGTTTTTTCATGAAAATATATTTTATTTAAATTTTATGCCATATTAATGAAAATGTATTAATATTATAATTTTAAATGATATAATGGAAATTGTAAAATATGTAGAAAAAGTGTATCGCTTTAAATTAAAATATTAATACATTTTCATTAACATAGCCAAAACCTCCAAATCCTATGTCCCGAATCACTAGAAGTCAATGATAAACTATATCATATAATTTATATAATATAATAACATAAAATAAAGAAAATAGAAAGAAATAAAAATACTAAAATTGAAAAAATAGAGAATTTTGATTTTTACATTTAAGATAGCATAACAATTAAATAATACAGAGTATTGATTTTCATGAAAAAATCTAGAATATAGATTTGAATCGTAATTTTTTAATCACACTCTACTATTTAAAAACACAAAATGTAAATTTGAATAAAGGAAAATAATACAAAATTATAACTTGTTAACAGAATTAGGAAAAATAAATTGGAAAAAAGAAAAAATGAAATTTTAGTGAAAATAAATAAAAAATAATTAATACTATTTTTATTTAACTTCGATACATTTGTAGAATGTTCATAATTATTTTTACATGTTTAAAAATATTTAATTTGGAAATTTATAAAAACATTACCATATTTTTTAAAAATTGAGAGTTGATAATTGGGATTAATAAAAGAAGGTCAACTATAGTTTGGATTATTTATAGCTTATGCATAGTTCACATTTAAATTTGACCTGCTATACCAGGTTGTAGCAGGTTAGGGACTATTTTTGGAAAATGGTCCCTATAGTTGGGACCACCCAGGAATAATCGATAGTTGGGATTATTAGCAGTGATCCGGCAATAGTTGGGATTATTAATTTCCATTTTTCCTAATTAAAAACATAGTATCAAAAGTTTAGATGCTCTTAGTTGGACCCGTTTTAATTCCAGATAAAACCAGATTAGACTTAAATAATGCAGATCAGACTATACTTCAACAGTTATAAACTTATAATACACATAGAATAAACATCTATTAGATTAGATTATATCATATTATCATATCACACTTAAACAAACCAAATTCAATCAAGTTAGGGCATAAAATTTTAATACAATTGAAAACATCATTATTACTTTTTCCGTTCTTTTTTAATTGAAACGATCCACTTTTCACGCTTGTCATTGCACAAGTGTGACAGTTAATATATTTCATCCTTATTAGTAAAAATATTAAAAAATTTAGATTTTGAAATTTAAAATGAGAGGAATTTAAAAATATTTTTTAAAAATTTAATTTATAATACATTAATAAATAAAATATAGTCAAAGGAAAATATGTAAATCGTGTAAAAAGTTCTATGTTGAAATTAAAAGAGAACGGAGGTAGTATTTTATAGCGGGGATAATCTAAATCAAACGCCATTCATTATTAGCTAGCATGAACTCCCCGCATTAATGTAGCGTCATTAAGACATTTATATTCATTTATTACAATGCTTTAAATTTGGAACATAACGCAACGGTAAGTTACTCTACGATATTGAATTTGAGATTACATCATATAAATATTTCTATAACCCAACATGATACAAATGATTTCTTTTTTAAAATGTAAACGATATAGATGTTTTATTACTCCGTATAATGTAATAAAAAATCACTTTTTGAAATCTTGTGACCTCTTTCTAATGTTCTTTAACTATGCAGTTTTTTCATATCAAATTTAGAAGCTGTAAACAAGAGGAGTTGGATAAATTTATTCAAAATTACAGTTTCAAATTTGATAATCCATAAAAAATATCCTTGAATGTTTTTGAGCAAAATTAGTCTCAAATGTAAGAGTTTGAATTTCCCATTTGTGTTGCCTGCCCCACCAAAGCCACTGTCAAGAGACTCAAGAGACACCAGATTTGGCCAAGAAAAGTCTATTACTCCTTTCCCGCAGGACGCAACCACCTTTAGAATCCATACTTTTCATAATAAATGTGAATTATGAAAAGTGGATAACAAATAAAAACTGTATAACAATTCCCAGATATAAAACCATCCCCATCTACTATCTACTATATTAAATAAAATAGTAATAGGAGTTCAGAATATAAGAGAAAGGTAAGATGGCTGGTGAATCCATCACCCTTTCTAAAAGAGAAGTGTTCAAGAAGAAAGAGAAGCAAAGATCAAAAACCCGCAGGTTCCCGAGAGTTATCGGCTCTAACAAGCCATCATCTTCGAAGCCGAGACAATCACTATTAAAATCACGCTTCTGTTGTGGTTATACCGATCCATCCAGCTCAAGTGGTTGCTCAACGCCAGATGAACAAGGCCTTGTACAACAAATGCCAGACTTCATCATGGCCAGCTCACCATCATCCTGTCATGACATCAACACATACAATGTTCAGGTGATCTGCCTCAACAAATATATTAAATTTTATTAATGGACTGTTCATTAGATGTATTTATTTATTTATTCTTTAATTATTAATATCCTTATTGTTATTATTATTATTATTATATCTTTGCTTTCTGAAAATAAAAAACATCAATAACTATATGAAAGATAGACCAAATCCTGCAGATTAAAAAAATATGGAGCAACATCTTTGACTTTATTTTATTCTAGTTTATCAAGAATGAAACACTCTCGAGTTTACTTATCCACAGTCTGCAGCTCTTGATCGCCAGGGAAAGGTTTTAGGCGAAACTAATCCCGTGGATTGTTTGGATTCACGATCAGTGAACCAGGAGAACAAAACCAACAAGATGAAGAATTTCCGAAGCACGAAGTCATTTAGGAGAAAGGGGAGATCAAGAATCATGAAACAGACAAAACCTTTATTGGATGAAACAGAAACAACATCAGAATCTTCTGCAACTGATATAGTAGAGGCTCAAGGGAAGGAAGGAATTTCTAAGGAAAGTCATCATATCTCTGGATCTACTAGCTTTGAAGCTAGTTTTCATTCCCATGAAAATAAGGGATTATCTGATCATAAATCTTTGGAGATTCTAATGAGGACATCTAGCTTGAGGAAGCCTTCTTTCAGGTGTTCTAAGGTCAAAATTGCAGATAAGCCTACTTGCTCTTCCACCATTAGAAATTCAAAGTTCCCTAGAAATCCTTCACTGAAACTGGGGAAATCTGAATCAGATATACTTCAAGTATATAAAGTTTGTCCGTACCACCATTGTTCTCTTCATGGGCATATTCAAGATTCATCAACCTCATCAAAGCGGCGTGGCATGGTAAGAAAATCAACGAAATTGAAGAAAAACCTAAAGCAGTTAACCGAAACTAACATGGATGGAAATCCTGATTCTGAAGCTTCCAACAAGAGCCTTCTTCCACCTGACAGTCAGAAAGACAAGCAAATGAGCATGTGGAACCTCATTCGTAGGCACATGTCTTCATCTCTTGCTGCAGAATCCAAAAACGTAGAAATTTCTGGATTAAGAGCTGATTCTTTTGGAGAAGAAACTGCCACTTTGGATCAGGATGAAAAGGTTCTTGCTGTTAAACTTGTACGAGAAGCGATAGAGAGAATTCTTCTTCCAGAGGTTAGTGACATTGCACCAGACCAAGAACCAGTCGAAAAGAATTATCATAGTGAAGGTAAGATAAATGTTTATTATTAATACTATTACTGTTGTTGCTGTTGTTATTTTCATTTATTCCCTCCATTCCAGATTATTCGACTTTTAAAGTGTACACATATTATGTAACAATCCGTATTACAATATGCCCCCGTCTATCACTATAAAAGGTATGCACTACATGCATTGCACTGTCATTCCTTTCAAGGCACAAAAGCTTTGATGTGGGATAGTTAATATAAGCATATTTGGGAGATTAAGAAAATGCATTGAATTCATAAAAGGACCATTAATATGAAACTTTTATTTTGCTAAAAGTACAATTCCTTTAGAACGGAGGGAGTACCAGATTGCAAACTGTAATAATAGAATGTGTTTATGATTTTTTGACATTAGGTTCTGCAGACATAAAAAAAGTGGAAAACTACAATGCACCTTCTGGTTCAGAAGAGATGAACACCATAGCTACTGATAATTATGAAGGTCAACATACAGAGGGATCAAAAGAAAAGGTTCCAAATATATCTAACAGGAAAGCGCCAAAACAGTGGAGTAATCTGAAAAAATGGATCCTGCTCCAACGCTTTACCAAGGAATTGGAAAGAGTAAGAAGGCTAAACAAGAGGAAGTCAAGGAATTTGCAGGTAGAGCCTGGTCTTGAAGCAGAAAAGGTTCATTTGAGACATCAAACTGTGGAGGAGAAGAAACGGGCAGAAGAATGGATGCTTGATTATGCACTTCAGCAAGCAATGCGTGAACTCGCCCCAACTCAGAAAAGGAAAGTGGAACTACTAGTAAAGGCATTTGAAACCATGGTTCCTCTCGAAGGAGTTCAGAGTATTCAATTAGCATTTCCCAAGCTCGAAAGCAACGGCGAAGCAGATGATGCCATTTGCAAGGCTCAGAACCTCAATAAGGAAGCATCTACAGAGTCTGTACCAACACAGTCTGTACAACAGCTTCAGGAATTACATGGAGGATATCCCAATAATGATGCTAGAGGCAAAGCACAGATGGGAAATCAAAATTACATTGCCATGTGGCATATGGTCTCTCAACATGTTCTGTCAGGCATTGCGTCAAACACTAAAAGTGCGCTGCTTGATGAAACAGATGATGAATCCGAAGGGAGCATCACTCTGGGAGAAGCAAAATCCAGACTTCCTTGTGATGAAGAAAATCATGATCTTGATTCAAGCTGTCAGAAAAGAAGCTTTAACAGAGATGACGCCATCAAACTCGTCAGAGAGGCAGTAAACGAGATCCTCATAACACAAATTCAAGATGATACTTTTGACGCAAATTCGGATCAAACTCATATGAGTTCGGGAGAGAAGATTTCGGAAGAAAATGAGTTAGTAGCCAAAGGAAAAGAATCGGGAACTGATAATCTCATTGAAAATGAAGAGATCAGAGAACCATCACTAGCTAAGAAAGAAGAGGTAGTTGAAGCAAAGCCTGAACTGCAGAAATCCAATAAGTGGGGTAAGCTGAAAAAGCTTCTTATTCTAAAGAGATCAATCGTGGCCCTGGAAAATGCTAGGAAAATCAAATTCCAGGAACCACTACATCTGTCACTGATGCCTAATCCAGAACCAGAAAGGGTTGATCTAAGGCATCAGATAATGAATGAGAGGAAAAAGGCCCAACAATGGATGCTTGATTATGCAGTGCAGCATATTGTGACTTCACTCACTCCTGCCAGGAAGAGAAGGGTGGCAATGCTAGTGGAAGCTTTTGAAGCTGTTGTTCCATTTCCAGATAATCTAAGCAAATAATAAAATATCAACAATTATGGAATTCATATCTTAGTTTTGAGGCTTTAAGTGAAATTGTGAAAGCAAATACTACAGGAATTCTTACTTATGGTATTGATTGTTTTGTTGGTTTGAACAGATTGCATATCATTTTATTTTTTAATTTTCAATTACTCCATATTGCGATTGGAATTAGGGGTGGGCAAAATGACTAAACCGGCATGGTACCGAACCGGACCGATATGGTACCGGACCGGAAAACGGGATTTCAAACGGTTCTCAAAAATTTTGTCCCGAACTGGACCGGACCGGTTCCAAATCATGTCATGACCGGTTCTCATAAAATGAGAACCGGTACCGGACCGAACCAGACCGAATTATAATTTTATTAATTTATGTAATTTTATAATTATATATACATGTACACTATATTATCATAACTTTGATTACTCATTTGTACTTTGCTAATTGCTAGTTCACTGCAAACTGTCGGCATGAACACTAAGGCAGACTTTATAGTGGTGAAGCCGAGCCCAATTCATTTTATTGTTTGACTATAGGTTTGCATTTAACATATTTAGCACTTTAGCCCATCTAAAAAAGTATACTCAAACCACCATTCCAAAATATACTTAAATGAAGTGACAAATGAAATCAATGCTTCTCTTAGTGTAAAAATGCATTAATTATGTGTGTTTGAGTGGGAAGTGAAGTTTTGGATATCATCTGCTAAGATCTGAAGAAGCCAGTGGTGCTTAGAGAGTGGTGGTCGTGAACATTTTGTTATTTATGTTTTGTACTATTATACTACCTCCGTTCCCATTTTAACTTCCAAATGGGTTTGGTACAAAGTTTAAGATAGTGGATATTGTGTGGTGGAGAGTTGTGCAGAGGAGAGAGAAATGTGTAAGAAATGTTGTGAACCACAAATTCTTTACCAAAAAAGGAAAGTGGAAGTTTTAATTGGAACGGACGAAAAAGGAAAGTTGGAAGTTTATTTAGGAACGGAGGGAGTAGTTTATATGAAATTCATTAACTTTGTAATATGAAAATTGATAATTGTGTGTATTTTTGGATGATGGGTAAGTTTTTATTTGTCGAGAAAAGTGGCATTGTTTGGTATTGGTATGGCATGGTACCGGACCATTTGAAAATGGAATTGAACCGAACGGGTTTAGGTCTAAGACCGAACCAAAATGAACTGTTTCAATAGTAACGGTCCGGGTATGGGTTTGGTAAAATATTGGACCGGATCGTACCGCGCCCACCCCTAATTGGAATTTGACCGCCAGATTTTGTCCACTATTTCATTTTTGCTAGCACTTATCTATCATCATTTGGCTGGATTAATTCTGACTTCTGAAGAATTTTTTCAAAGAAAAGTTCCTTTTGTACACGTTCTTATACACATCAGTACACCTCCATGTCTGTGAGAGTATCTTGTCAGTGAAACTCAATCGACAAACAAAAACTGGCTTGTTTTGTCTGTAGAAAACAAGATCGTTTTTGTCTATCGATTGGGATTCACAGACAAAAAACTCTCACAAACACGGAGGTGTACTGGTGTGTATAAAAACGTGTACACCAAGAATTTTTGTTTTCCAAATCCTTTAGAGATACTACGTAATAAATCTCTACTAATCCGCTAAGTTTCACAATGAGACATCCTAAACAATGATTGTACGACTATTCGAGTTAGCCGCAACAGGTTAGATGATCGTTATTTGAGGAAATCTTTTCGAATTTACGTTTTTCATTACTTGAACTTGAAGACCTCTCATATGGGGAGGACCTTAAGTTCAGAGTTAGCCCATTTAAATCACTCCCAGTTGTCGACGATTTCAAACAAAATTGGAGAAGGGGTTATCCATGTGTTTGGTGAAAAACACTCTTTTTAGAAGATCTGGTCCGAGTAAAAATGAGAGTAAATGTTAGAAAAATAACTATTCATAAAACTACATATACTCTAAATTGAGCAAGAATGTCATTCTAAAACAATAATGTCCTTATAGTGTTAATATCACTCAACATAATGTTATCCTAACAACAAAATAAAGAGTTAATTCCCTGAATAGGACTAAAACTTTTAAGAAATGCACAAATAGGACTTCCATGTTTCATAGGATTGAAAATGTATTGTCTTTACAAAATTACCCTTAATGAATTTCTAAATCTATTTACAATTAAAAATCAAAAAATAAACAAGCTATCTAAGACCCTAGATTCCACAACCGCCTCTAGCACTCCAAATGCCGCAACCACTTCCGACGCTTCCACTTCCAACACCATCGCCGCCACTTCCGACGCTGGCGCCGCCGTCACTTCTAGCACCACTGCTGGCGCCATCACCGCCGGTTGCGAAAATGCCAATATGCTACAAAACAATATGTTGACAACATAAAAACATAATTCTGCCATCTTTTATAAAAAAAATAAACACAATGTTGAGAGTTCCTATCATTATATTTGGCAGTTCGTTGAAGAACACAATATTTTTATGTCATAATATCATATGCAAATATGCCATATAGTTGGCAATACTTTTAAATCGATGTCAAAATACAAATTTTCTGTCATAGTGTATTACATGAAACTGCCAAAATTTTGACAAAAAATGAACTCAACACCCAAATCTGGAAAACCAAAGTTTTTAATGAAACTAGAAATTTATTGAAATTAGAAATCTCAACCACGAAATCTATCATAATATATTGGTCAATTTTGCCAAAAGATTGGCAATAAAAAGTAAAGTTTAATTTAAAATAAATGTTTTTTTGCCATAATATAATATTGAGTACTACATGAAACTGCCAAAAAGTTGGCAAAAATGTAAAGCCGATATTCCAGATTTGAAAAATATGAATTTTTATCGAAATTGGAAATTTAACGACAACAGAAATCAGAAACCTAAAGCCCATGTCTACAAAACAGAAAAGTCGATGTCCAACTCCAAAAATGTTCATGAAACAAAAATATTTCTACCAAAAAACAATAAAATTAGTGAGGGGAAACATGTTATTAACCATGAAGATTAGAGAAAAAGAAGAACAAAAGAAGAAGGGGGAGACGAAGATAAAGAAGACAAATAGGAAAGAAGGGGGAGGAGTAGGAGTAGGAGGAACCTAGAATCGACGAAGATGAAAGAGGCGATGGTGCCAAAGAGGTGTATAATCGCATGAGGGGCGAATTCCATGCCTCGACGTAGGAGTGTTGCGCAGGGATCTATGAGCAACGCTTGCTGCGTAGGAGATCGAAGAGCCACAGACATTCGTGAGATAAATTGGAATTGGAATTAGGGTTTTGATTTTATTATATAGGAGGGCATAATGATAATCCGGAGTCTTATTTGGGGAATTAGAAACTTTAAGTCCTATATAGGACAATTACTTCATAATAAATGTCATCTTTATATACATTTTGTTGACATATTGACTGGCTGGAACATACCTAGTAAAACTTGAAAACCATTCGGTATGAGATCTATTTTATTCCTTTAAAAAGAAATTAGAAGTCTCAATTCAAAGAACTGTTAATTAATTCTATATCATCTCCGCTCTAGTAATTTTTTGAAGAGACGTATAAGAACGAATAGTGTTGGAGTAATGGACCGAATGTGATATTAATAGCCGTTAAGCTGAAGAAGACCTATGAGCGGACTGACTAGGTCCGTTTTTTAAAATGGCCTTGTTACAGAGCAGGGGAAGCAAATCAAGATATAAGGGTAATTGCAAGTTTGATTACAAATTTTGGTTGATATCATGAGAGGGACAGTACATGCAGCTATGAATTTTTTATGGTGTGATCACTCGATTTGGACAATCAGTCAAATAGTCAAATTATAGTAAATCATTGAATCCATGGCAATTACAAAGGGAAAATTCCTACCGGTGGGCGTAGCTCAACTGGTAGCAAGGGAGTGTCACAAGGGTTAGATCCCGGGTTCGAATCGTGGCAACTGCGATGAGGGGTTACTATGCTAAAAATGCATAGGACCTCTGCAAGTACCGTGGACAGAGCCTCACTCTCTATCTGTCAGATTGTGATTATAGTCCAACTTACATCCTCCCAACGTACCGTCTGGTCGGGGTTGAGGGGCCCTCAAGGATGGGGTGTCATCCTTTTTTTACAAAGGGAAAATTCCTTTTGTACACGCCAATTTTTACACGCCGGGTTACACGCCTGTCAAATTGTTTGTGTACAGACAATTTGATCGCCTACAGAGACATATTGAGCGGCGATTTATGAAGAAAATCGATTTTCACACAGACAAAACTAAATAAAATGTCTGTGTCACAGAAACTTTATGAAAAATCCAGACCTCAACAAGCAAGAAGACACCCTCCAGGCAAACAACAAGCAAGCCCTCGGGAACCCATTGAGACCCCTTCACCAAGAGTTAGCCCCCACCAGGAAGATCAGGGATAACCCCTGGGAGCCCTCAGCCCTCGATGCCTGGGGACTTGGGGGAACCCCCTCGGCAATCACCGCCCTCATATCAAAGACAACCCTCAGGTTTTCGGGGCTACTCTCCACAGATTATGAATGGCCCTCGGCCTCAGCACTGTCATTCATCTCAGACAAGAGGGTTTACCTTTTTACTTCATTATGGGGGCATCCGGTGCACTCTTTTTCCCTCATTACGATGTTTTCCCATAAGGTTTTTCCTAACGAGGTTTTTAACGAGACAACTCCCCAAAATGAAGCAAAATGCATCACCCATCGGCTCTCTACTGAACACAGGCATTATTCTACTCCTTCTCACCCCATTACATGTGCCTCAAGGAGTGGGGGACTAGAGAACCCCTTCGAGAAAATCACACGAAGTTAAAAATTTCTTTTCTCGCAACAAAGACGCCTTCGGCGGAACAACCACAATTACCCTTTTTCCCTCAAGAACCTTTCGGAAAAAGGAGTGAGGTACTTCTGATGGAGTATATGGACCGGGACCCCCTGGACCACAGACTCCTACTTCTCCTTCTCAGGCCCATCGAGCCCAAAGAGCGCATGAAGCCCAGACATGGCAGTCCAAGTATCAAGGAGCCCATAAATACACATGTGAGTGCCTTTGGCCTCCTTGGCCGAAGGCCCCAAACTCCACGAAACAACTGATCTTCTACATACAAAGCTACTGGAAGAAAGCGGCGAAATCAAGAGTCTTCGGCTCACATGGACCTTC